TGACCCCTCTGGGGGCCCGGTCATTGCGACCTCCTCTACTGTTCTCCCTTGTCCTGCGGTCCCGTCGGGCACACTGTCAGGTCTCTACCTCCCCTCGTTCTCTACGAACTTGGTGGCGGGTAGTGCGCTCCAGGACGGGGTGTCCACCAGTTCACCCCTGCCTACGAGCGCGTGACACACTGCACGTGTGCTCGGACGGGTCGCCACCTGGCTACCTTCACTCGGCAGCCGGGGTCGGACCTGTACACACTGACCACTGAGTCCCCTCAGGTAGCTGCGTCTGCGTCTGCGTCAGGTCAGCTGTCGGCCCCCTGCTCGTGTCGCTCCCTGGCGCACGAGACCGTCCTCTGGCACCACCGCCTTGGTCACCCGTCAGTGCAGCGCCTTCGTGGCATGCACTCCCGGTACCTTGTCTCTGGTCTTCACAGGGTTCTCCCTCCCCTCCCACCCTCGCCTGCTCCTCCTTGTCTTCCCTGTGTCGAGGGGCGGCAGCGCGCCGCTCCTCACTCCTCCTCGTTTCCCCCGACGACTGCTCCCCTGCAGACGCTCCACATGGACGTGTGGGGCCCAGCCCGCGTCCGTGGACAGGGTCACGAGAGGTACTTCTTGATAGTTGTTGACGACTACTCGCGCTACACCACGGTCTTCCCCTTGCGCACCAAGGGTGAAGTCCCTGATGTTTTGATCCCTTGGATCCGCGCTGCCCGTCTCCAGCTCAGCGAGAGGTTCCACTCGGACTTTCCTGTCCTGCGTCTGCACTCTGACAGAGGTGGGGAGTTTTCCTCCGACCTCTTGAGGGCCTACTTTCAGGGGCAGGGCATTGAGCAGTCGTTCACGCTTCCGGCCTCTCCACAGCAGAATGGGGTTGCTGAGCGCCGCATTGGCCTGGTCATGGAGGTCGCTCGTACCTCCTTGATCCATGCAGCTGCCCCCCACTTTCTGTGGCCGTTTGCGGTCCGATACGCTGCGCATCAGCTCAACCTCTGGCCCCGTGTCTCCGTTCCGGAGACTTCGCCGACACTGCGTTGGATGGGAGAGGTTGGCGATGCGTCTCGTTTCCGGGTCTGGGGATCTCGAGCTTTTGTTCGCGATACGTCCGCGGACAAGCTCTCCTCCCGCGCTGTTCCTTGTGTCTTCCTTGGCTTTGTCCCGGACGCGTCTGGTTGGCAGTTTTACCACGCCACCTCGCGCCGTGTCCTGCCTTCTCAGGACGTCACGTTCGACGAGTCGGTCCCCTACTACCGCCTCTTCCCCTACCGCACTGCCCCGCTCCCCCCCCCGCCTCTCTTCCTCGCACCAGGTGCTGCTGTGGTAGACCCCCTCCCCCCTCAGGGTGCCGCTCCCTCAGGTGTGTCCCAGGTAGACCCGGTTGAGCCTGTCGAGGTAGCTGTCGACTCTCGTCCTGCTAGGGGTGCTGAGCCTGAGCGTGCGGAGCCTGGGGGTGCAGAGCCTGGGGGTGCTGAGCCTGAGGTTGCTGAGTCTGGGGGTGCTGAGCCTGCGGGTACGGAGCCTGGGGGTGCTGAGCCTGAGGGTGCTGAGCCTGAGAGTGCTACGTCTGAGGGTACTGAGCCTGGGGGTGCTGCGACTGACCGTGCGGCGCCTGGAGGCGCTCCCTCTTCACAGCAGCTGCGTGAGTGGTACTCGCGGTACTGCAGCCTCAGGAGGGGCGCTTCTGGGGCTAGGGGTGCTGCTGGAGCTGGTGTTCGTGGTTCCCCGCCTAGGCGGGAGCCGCCCTCTCCCCAGCGGCTCCGAGAGTGGTACGCTCGGCGCTGCAGTCTCCGGAGTGGCGCTGGAGGTGGAGTTGGAGCTGCTGCTGGTGCTGAGGACCCTGGAGCTGGAGCCGCTGCTGGTGTTGCGGACCCTGGAGCTGGTGCTGCTGACGCAGGAGCTGCTGGTGGTGCTGCTGGAGGTGCTGCTGGTGCTGGAGGTACTGCTGGTGCTGCTGGAGGTGCTGCTGGAGCTACTGGAGGTACTGCTGGTGCTGGAGCTGCTGGAGCCGCTGGTTCTGGAGGTGCTCGTGCTGGAGGTCCTGGAGCTGCTGGGGTTACTGGTGGTGCTGCGGGAGTTGTAGCTGGAGACCCTGGGGCTGAGGGTACTGGTGCTGTCTCTGCTGGTTCAGGAGGTGCTGAGCGGCCGCGGCCGTACTACGTTCCGCTCCTTCAGCAGGTTCTTGGCCTCCCGCCCTCTCCTGGTCCTACTCCTCCCCTACTGAGTCCACCGCCTGTCCAGTCGTAGTCACAGTTACAGCCAGCCTCTCCACTGCCTGGTCCTTCTCCTTACGCTGAGCCGACGGGAGGTTTTACAGAGCGTCGTGAGCCTGAGTCTCGTCCTCCGTCGCCTGAGTCTCGTCCAGAGTCGTCTGAGTCGCGTCCAGAGTCGCCTGTCCGCGCTGCCCGCGCTGGTCGTCGTGCTCCGCGTCAGCGTCCTCCTCCTGTCCTTGGCACTCACTATATGACCCTGCGTCCTTCCACTGCTCCACAGCGTGTCCCTCTGCCGTCTCCTCCAGCGTCCTCTCTTCCTGCTCTTGCTGACCCGGAGTCTGACTCTCTTCGTGCTGCCACTCCTACTGTCACGCGTCTCCTCGCCACTGTTGTCACTGACCCTTCTTTTGAGTCCTCTGCTGCGTCTGCTCTAGTCGCTGAGCTTGTTGACTTTGCTGCCGCCTGTCGTCTAGACTACGCCGCTAGCCTTGTTGCTGAGTCTGAGTCTGTCTGTCCTCCGTCCGTCGGGGGTGAGTGTGCTCTTAGCACGGACGTCCTTGAGGACAGACAGGAGGAGTTTGAGTGCTTTGCCGCTGCTTTACCCCATCTCGTGTCCATGCTGATTGCCCCCGAGGGAGACCCGGATGCACCAGACATCCCGACCCCACGCTCTTACGCAGAGGCGATGGAGGGTCCCTACTCCTCTCAGTGGCAGACAGCCATGGACGCAGAGATGGCTTCCTGGAAGTCCACAGGCACCTACGTAGACGAGGTTCCCCCACCTGGGGCGAACATCGTCAGTGGCATGTGGATTTTCAGGGTAAAGCGGCCGCCGGGTTCTCCGCCTGTCTTCAAGGCGCGTTACGTTGCACGAGGCTTCAGTCAGCGAGAGGGAGTTGACTTCTTCCAGACCTTCTCCCCGACCCCGAAGATGACCACTCTTCGGGTTCTGCTGCACGTTGCCGCTCAGCGTGACTACGAGCTCCACTCTCTTGACTTCAGCACTGCGTTCCTACAGGGCAGCCTGCACGAGGAGATCTGGCTGCGCCGCCCACCTGGCTTCACTGGGTCGTTCCCTCCTGGTACCCAGTGGAGCCTCCGGCGGCCAGTCTACGGTCTCCGCCAGGCACCCCGTGAGTGGCACGACACACTGAGGACTACTCTTGCTGCTCTTGGGTTTGCTCCTTCTACTGCTGACCCGTCGCTGTTTCTACGCACCGACACCACTCTGCCGCCGTTCTACGTTCTCGTGTACGTAGACGACTTGGTCTTTGCTACTGCTGACACTGAGGCACTCGCCCACGTGAAGTCGGAGCTGCAGAAGAGACACACGTGCACAGACCTGGGTGAACTGACAAGCTATCTTGGCTTGCGGATCACCCGGGACAGAGCACAGCGCACCATCACCTTGACTCAGTCACACATGGTGCAGCAGGTCCTTCAGCGCTTCCGCTTCACGTACTCCTCGCCTCAGCCCACTCCTCTGCCTACCGGTCACTCGCTCTCAGCTCTGCCTTCGGATGAGTCCGTAGAGCCGAGTGGCCCGTATCCAGAGCTTGTGGGCTGCCTCATGTACCTGATGACCTGCACTCGACCTGACCTTGCATACCCTCTTAGCATCCTAGCACGCTATGTCGCTCCTGGCCGTCACCGGAAGGAGCACATGGATGCAGCTAAGAGGGTGTTGCGCTGCTTGTGCAGTACGTCGGGCATGGGGCTTGTGCTTGGAGGACGGGCTCGAGTTGTCCTCACTAGGCACTCAGACGCTTCTTGGGCTGACGACCAGGCTACGCAGCGGTCGTCTCAGGGTTACACCTTCAGCCTTGGCTCTGGTTCAGTTTCTTGGCGTTCTACACGCTCGTCTTCAGTTCTCAGCTCCAGTTGTGAGGCTGAGATCTACGCCACAGCCATGGCTGCACAGGAGTTACGCTGGCTCACCTACCTGCTGACCGACCTGGGAGAGCGGCCTCGTTCTCCTCCAGTGCTGTACGTCGACAACAAGGCCGCCATTGCCTTGTGTCAGGAGCACAGACTGGAGCACAGAACGAAGCACATCGCTCTGCGCTACTTCCTTGCTCGAGAGCTGCAGCAGCGTGGTCAGCTTCGTCTTGCTTACGTGGCCACTCGGGCCAACACTGCTGATGTGTTCACCAAGGCGCTTCAGCCTTGTGATCATCAGCGTTTCTGTACTGTTCTAGGCCTTGTGCCTACTGTGCCTCACTTGCTCACTTCTTGACTCTGCTTGTACTGTGATCTCTATATATATACCTGCATGCTTACACTTGCTAGGTTGTGATCAATGTACCTCTTGTTATGTTATCAAACTGCATGTGAACTGGTCTTGTGACCGCTTGCTTGTGCTCGGAATTTGTGTGGTATCCTTGAGATCCACCCTGAGCTTGTTTTGCTTTGTTTTTCTTTGACTGGTCTTGTGACCATCTGGTTGTCTCCCACTTAGCCTATGGGGGTGTGTCAAACATTGTATATGTTTATATTCTGTAGGCTATAGTGGGTTTAGCCTTAAGGGGTACAACATTCTAGGGTTTCCTACTTGTACTCCCAATCTTGTTAGTTCAATCACTCTTGTTCATTCTGACACCCCCAGTCTTCCATTACATCCTCCCGTGGTGGATGTAGTGGGGTCAGGCAGAAATCCCTGAGTGGGTAGGCCGCGTCTCCCACGATTTGATATGGCTCTATGTCGCCGCTAAGCAACCTTTCATGTAACGCACTGTTCATGAATACACGTTGATCGTGTGCACTCCGTGGGTAACCAATAAGGTTTTCCCAGATGATCCCTCAGGCGTCACATGTCAGTTGCAGTTGTACGGCATACGCCGACTTGCACGTGTAGTACTCCTGGCGATGCCCCTCCATTCCTTTCATTTGTATGTGTGTCCCATCAATAGCCCCCACCACAGCAAGAATCTCCTTGACAGCGCGGAACTCCTCGGCCATCTCGTCCAGGTCGTCGCGGGTGGGGAAGTGCACCCAGTCCCCCTTGAAGACGGACAGGAAGTGCATCAAGAAGGCGTCGACTAGCGCATGACACAACGTCTTCGATACACCAAAACATGTGAGCCATGTCCACGTACGACATCCCCACCAGCACAGCCACCTCATGTGTAATGTGGTTGCGCTCGACATAGGGTTGCATGTAGTACTGCATACCCGCAGTGATGTACTCCAGGATTGCCCGGTTTATCCTGAAAATGTCTCTAAACTCGTCGTCGCGCATGCCTTGCAGGTCTTCAAGCCATAGCTGGAAGCGACGAGCGCGCAGGCGTGAACGTCTCGTCCGCTCAGCCGTCCTGTTGGAACGGGACGAGCTGGTGGGAGACGAGCTGTCCGTGAAGACATCGCTCTGTAGCAAGCCTTCTACCGCCCTGGAGACTGCGTCCATAAAGATGGTGTAGTAGAAAGTGATCCAGGCGATCAGCAGACGCAGTAGGAAAGGCACAGCGCGTGGCTCTGCCATACTAGCTACTGGGCAATGTGTGTGCTGTGCTGTTTTTTGTACTTGACAGGAGACTGGGATCGTTGTGATGGGCATGGTGTGTACTTCTTCCTGCAATGAAGGCAACATTTACAAGTTGCGTTACAGAGACCCGCTTCGAGGGTACCGATTGTTGCACAATTGTTTTGTGTCCCTGCCCGGCGCCGAACGCTGAAGTCGCCAACCATGTTGACTCACCCAATGAGACGCTAACAACTGCACACGATGCCAGGTCGCACAGTGTCGCGGTACATTTACAGTTTGTGACGCGAGGTTGGGCAAATGTGCAGACGCGACTCGGGAAATTTGGGATTGAGACATTTGTGTCGATACAGGAATGTGCCCTAACAGCATATAACCTTTATTATGTTTTATATTTCCAACAAATGACAGCTTCAAAATCAGCGAATTCAATCAGTATCTTTTACGCTGATAAATGAGGGCCTGGATACCAAAGTTGGACACATTCTACTGAAGGAAACCTACCGGTACCGGTACCAAGGTCTCTATTGTACGGTAAAAGAAAGTGAAGATTTGTTTGCAACTGAGAAAAAGGCCATCCCCCAAGGGTGTCTATTCGTGTGACTGCAGTAACACGACACCGGCTTTGTGGTATTCACAAAGAAACAACACAGATGGCTGCCTTACCACTGGTGGTGCATTATAAACGGCAACTTCATACGGTGGTTACTGCACACTTGTACGGTATGTGGCCCGACATCCATGGTTGGTAAAAGCCCCTAAATTCAGAATTGATTTCCTAAGCGCCTCTAGGCGCGAATAACCCACCATGACATAGCACGTGCAGGGCACGTATGGATGGAACACGTATGGGACGCATGAAGGGCACATGTGGGACATGCATAGGGCACGCGTGGAGCACTTGTGCAGCATGTGTGGCGCATGTGTGAGACATGTGCGGGGCATGTGCGGGGCATGTGTGAGACATGTGCGGGGCATGTGCAGGGCATGTGCGGGGCACGTATGGATGAAACACGTATGGGACACATGCGGGCATGTGTGGGGCATGCGTGGGGCATGCATAGGGCACGTGTGGGCCACATGTGGGGCAGGCATGGACATGCATGAAGACTAGCGGGCAGCGGGTTGGGTGAGGAGGATGTTGTGGCTCTCCCTGCCCTGGAAGAATTCGTTGAGCAGCGAGTCCAGGCCCTCCTCCTTGAAGCGAATGTACTTGCTGGCCGCATAGCTGCTGCGCCCAAACCGCCCGCCGCTCTCCAACACCGGGCTGATGGAGGGAGAGGGTGAGACGAAATGAGAAACAAGGGACAGGCGTGAATTGAAACACTGCCTCCATTCTCCAGACCGGGCGGATGGTGGGGAAGGAGGGGGAGGAGGGATGGGGATCTTCCACATGCACTCAAGAGTGTGACCACACACCCAACACCCTGTACTCAACTCACATCCATCCCTGCACCGAGATCTTCCACATGCACTCAAGAGTGTGACCACACACCCAACACCCTGTACTCAACTCACATCCATCCCTGCACCGAGATCTTCCACATGCACTCAAGAGTGTGACCACACACCCAACACCCTGTACTCAACTCACATCCATCCCTGCACCGAGATCTTCCACATGCACTCAAGAGTGTGACCACACACCCAACACCCTGTACTCAACTCACATCCATCCCTGCACCGAGATCTTCCACATGCACTCAAGAGTGTGACCACACACCCAACACCCTGTACTCAACTCACATCCATCCCTGCACCGAGATCTTCCACATGCACTCAAGAGTGTGACCACACACCCAACACCCTGTACTCAACTCACATCCATCCCTGCACCGAGATCTTCCACATGCACTCAAGAGTGTGACCACACACCCAACACCCTGTACTCAACTCACATCCATCCCTGCACCGAGATCTTCCACATGCACTCAAGAGTGTGACCACACACCCAACACCCTGTACTCAACTCACATCCATCCCTGCACCGAGATCTTCCACATGCACTCAAGAGTGTGACCACACACCCAACACCCTGTACTCAACTCACATCCATCCCTGCACCGAGATCTTCCACATGCACTCAAGAGTGTGACCACACACCCAACACCCTGTACTCAACTCACATCCATCCCTGCACCGAGATCTTCCACATGCACTCAAGAGTGTGACCACACACCCAACACCCTGTACTCAACTCACATCCATCCCTGCACCGAGATCTTCCACATGCACTCAAGAGTGTGACCACACACCCAACACCCTGTACTCAACTCACATCCATCCCTGCACCGAGATCTTCCACATGCACTCAAGAGTGTGACCACACACCCAACACCCTGTACTCAACTCACATCCATCCCTGCACCGAGATCTTCCACATGCACTCAAGAGTGTGACCACACACCCAACACCCTGTACTCAACTCACATCCATCCCTGCACCGAGATCTTCCACATGCACTCAAGAGTGTGACCACACACCCAACACCCTGTACTCAACTCACATCCATCCCTGCACCGAGATCTTCCACATGCACTCAAGAGTGTGACCACACACCCAACACCCTGTACTCAACTCACATCCATCCCTGCACCGAGATCTTCCACATGCACTCAAGAGTGTGACCACACACCCAACACCCTGTACTCAACTCACATCCATCCCTGCACCGAGATCTTCCACATGCACTCAAGAGTGTGACCACACACCCAACACCCTGTACTCAACTCACATCCATCCCTGCACCGAGATCTTCCACATGCACTCAAGAGTGTGACCACACACCCAACACCCTGTACTCAACTCACATCCATCCCTGCACCGAGATCTTCCACATGCACTCAAGAGTGTGACCACACACCCAACACCCTGTACTCAACTCACATCCATCCCTGCACCGAGATCTTCCACATGCACTCAAGAGTGTGACCACACACCCAACACCCTGTACTCAACTCACATCCATCCCTGCACCGAGATCTTCCACATGCACTCAAGAGTGTGACCACACACCCAACACCCTGTACTCAACTCACATCCATCCCTGCACCGAGATCTTCCACATGCACTCAAGAGTGTGACCACACACCCAACACCCTGTACTCAACTCACATCCATCCCTGCACCGAGATCTTCCACATGCACTCAAGAGTGTGACCACACACCCAACACCCTGTACTCAACTCACATCCATCCCTGCACCGAGATCTTCCACATGCACTCAAGAGTGTGACCACACACCCAACACCCTGTACTCAACTCACATCCATCCCTGCACCGAGATCTTCCACATGCACTCAAGAGTGTGACCACACACCCAACACCCTGTACTCAACTCACATCCATCCCTGCACCGAGATCTTCCACATGCACTCAAGAGTGTGACCACACACCCAACACCCTGTACTCAACTCACATCCATCCCTGCACCGAGATCTTCCACATGCACTCAAGAGTGTGACCACACACCCAACACCCTGTACTCAACTCACATCCATCCCTGCACCGAGATCTTCCACATGCACTCAAGAGTGTGACCACACACCCAACACCCTGTACTCAACTCACATCCATCCCTGCACCGAGATCTTCCACATGCACTCAAGAGTGTGACCACACACCCAACACCCTGTACTCAACTCACATCCATCCCTGCACCGAGATCTTCCACATGCACTCAAGAGTGTGACCACACACCCAACACCCTGTACTCAACTCACATCCATCCCTGCACCGAGATCTTCCACATGCACTCAAGAGTGTGACCACACACCCAACACCCTGTACTCAACTCACATCCATCCCTGCACCGAGATCTTCCACATGCACTCAAGAGTGTGACCACACACCCAACACCCTGTACTCAACTCACATCCATCCCTGCACCGAGATCTTCCACATGCACTCAAGAGTGTGACCACACACCCAACACCCTGTACTCAACTCACATCCATCCCTGCACCGAGATCTTCCACATGCACTCAAGAGTGTGACCACACACCCAACACCCTGTACTCAACTCACATCCATCCCTGCACCGAGATCTTCCACATGCACTCAAGAGTGTGACCACACACCCAACACCCTGTACTCAACTCACATCCATCCCTGCACCGAGATCTTCCACATGCACTCAAGAGTGTGACCACACACCCAACACCCTGTACTCAACTCACATCCATCCCTGCACCGAGATCTTCCACATGCACTCAAGAGTGTGACCACACACCCAACACCCTGTACTCAACTCACATCCATCCCTGCACCGAGATCTTCCACATGCACTCAAGAGTGTGACCACACACCCAACACCCTGTACTCAACTCACATCCATCCCTGCACCGAGATCTTCCACATGCACTCAAGAGTGTGACCACACACCCAACACCCTGTACTCAACTCACATCCATCCCTGCACCGAGATCTTCCACATGCACTCAAGAGTGTGACCACACACCCAACACCCTGTACTCAACTCACATCCATCCCTGCACCGAGATCTTCCACATGCACTCAAGAGTGTGACCACACACCCAACACCCTGTACTCAACTCACATCCATCCCTGCACCGAGATCTTCCACATGCACTCAAGAGTGTGACCACACACCCAACACCCTGTACTCAACTCACATCCATCCCTGCACCGAGATCTTCCACATGCACTCAAGAGTGTGACCACACACCCAACACCCTGTACTCAACTCACATCCATCCCTGCACCGAGATCTTCCACATGCACTCAAGAGTGTGACCACACACCCAACACCCTGTACTCAACTCACATCCATCCCTGCACCGAGATCTTCCACATGCACTCAAGAGTGTGACCACACACCCAACACCCTGTACTCAACTCACATCCATCCCTGCACCGAGATCTTCCACATGCACTCAAGAGTGTGACCACACACCCAACACCCTGTACTCAACTCACATCCATCCCTGCACCGAGATCTTCCACATGCACTCAAGAGTGTGACCACACACCCAACACCC